TTTGATGACGACATCAGTGACCTGGTGGGGGGCAGGGTGGGGTGGGGGTGGTATCTTTGATGAGGACAGTAGTGCCATGGTGATCGGTGAGGAGGGAGGGTGAGGTGTGGTGCGTCCCCCCACCTGCCACTAGGCCTGTCGTCATCATAAATGTCACCCCAATCCCCATCCTCCCTCCAAACAAAGATGATCTTCCCAAAAAAATTAGAGATTCTATTCCAATTCCGTCGAACCAAACGCATGGTCAAATTCCATCAAAATCCATTCCAATTTCTTCAAAGTCTAATTCCTTTGGTGGATTCCAATTCCACCAAATTCCATTCTGCAAACCAAACGCCCCCTAAGGTGTTATGTGTCTGATAAACCAACAAGTGGATGAAGTGTTTGTCTTTGGTGCCTTATTGGTACAATACCACATACCATTGCCAAAAGTGCATATAGTGATTCTATATCTATTTGGCTCTTTCCTTATCATCATTCAGACACGAGTAGTATACATATTCTCTTTTTTCCAAAGAAAATGTGTAATATAAATATCCAAATACTTCTAGTAGATAGTGATGGAGTATTTCCATATCAATTGGTAGGAAAGAGAGCACATGAAAACGCCAAGAGTTTAATGAATCCAATGTTATAATCAATAAGAGTACCTTAAAAACACTGTTGTGGATTGTTTTCTGGCGATTGTAACAATCTGCTTATCTGAAAACTTACAAAGAAGGAATAGGTCTGACTGGTTCTCAACCTGCCAATTAGAAAGCATCATAACTGCACGTCAAGGATGCATGTGTGGGTAGTTATAAAGAGAGAGATACACACACTGACACAGGTTTTAAATGATTTAAGTCCTGTTATGGTTGCATGGCTACAATTTCAAGTGGATCAAGAACCAAATATTATGTAATTAGTATATACCTTGCAGCAGTTTGCCAGAAGCAAAGAGCTTTGAATTGCATAAGGACCAGCCAAATTCAGTTTTCCAATCACAAACAGAAGTATGTCCAGTGAGAGCTCCATTACTGATACCCGGAACTGTTGATGCACAATACGATACCTCAAAAATTTGCCATTTCCAACAAGAAATTACCTAAGAAGCCGTTATCGATCTCTCCTACCTCTTTAACTCTAGCATAGAAATGAACAGGCACTCCATGCGAAACAGTTCCTACATCATGGCTTTGAAACCTAGATCGCCAGAAAATGCTTACTTCAACTGGATGTAGAAATGTGTTCCTGTTATTGAATGTTAAATAAGAAAATTGTTCAACGCATATTTGCAAGACTAATAAAGAGATCATTGTTGGTGAAAGGAAAGATGTATAAATACTCGGGGCCGTTTACCAAATACTTACCGGGTAAGCGCTTACAGGCAAAAGTCACAAACTCACTTACCTTGTCAGGTAGCATTCTCGGCCACCGAAATGGGTTGTTTGTAAGCGTCTCTTACCCGGTAAGCACTAACCGGGTAAGATTCTTGATCCTTGCCATGCGCACTCGGTAATGAAGTGAGCCGGGTAAACGCTTACCCGGTAAGTGGTTGGTAAACGGCCCCTCTGACGAACACCTACCATAAGTTTCTCTGGGCATCAAACGTGTATAACTCAACTGCAAGTCTGGTTATCACCCTGGTTTTAGCATGCAGTATCTCTATGCTAAATTCTGGAACAACCATGGACATCTGGAGAAGCGGGAGCTTTTCCGTTGTATCGGGAATTTCATGATATAAGGTCAGAGAAATTTTGTCAATCTTTATATCAATCAAGGGTAAAGCCCAAGTAGATTCTGTGGATTTTCCTTTATCTGCATGTAAAGTATCTTGTGCACCAGTCTTAGAGTCCTCCAATGTATCCAGCAATAATGGATCACGAGCCAAAGCAAAATCCTGAAAAACTTTCCACTTAAATGGATTTCTGGGACTGCTTACAAATTCTAGAACTCCTTCAACAAAAGCTATGGAACAATTATTCTTCCTATTTATTAGGTAAAATAGATTTTTTTCTACATTGTTGTACGACTCCAGCTCACTATCATCTTCAAAACCTGTAGATTTGCAAGGGAGTGAACGCCAAAGTGCTGACCCACTGTTACCAGAGCTGGAAAGCTCAACAAAGTTTGATCTGGAGTTACAGTTCAATTGCAGGTGTTCCCCGGATTCACTTTTAGCACACAATGAGGTCAATGAGAACCAGAGGTATGTTGACTTCCATATTCTTTGATAATGGTACTTCACCTAAATGAAAAGTTAAACTTTGCATAAATACAAGAATAGTAGCAGTTTCTGGCTATAAGACAGACAAAGCCATGAAGTTGATCAGATTTAGCATATTTAAACCAGGTTACAATAAAGGTTATCCCAAGTTAAATCAACTTAGATTGCTATTAATTTGTTCATGTCATATTTAGTCAATACAATAACGTAATTACTAAATCAACAGAAAAATTGGCGTGAAAGATCTCACAATTACTATAAAGCTAAATATGAGGGCAAAAGGAAGAGGATGATGCAGCTCAAAAGTAAAAACAAAATGAAGATGATTTTAATGCTAGAGGGAAATAAAAATAAAGTTCATTGCTCTCAATATCCTTTGGTTAAGCGTAGTATTTCAAAAAAAGTGAAACAATCAGATGGGTGTTATGAACTGAATCGATTGAACAATTGAAATAGAAACCAAGTGATAAGGACACTGTCAAATGCTTCAATTAACAAGAAAAACAAAGAACAAACTAGCATTCGAGAGGCTAGAACTCTCCCTTATAAAACCCCCTTATTTTCTGCATACCGACCCCTCTTGCAACCTCCCGATTTATACTAGACGTTTATTAACAGAAGCACCCAAAACACCCCTTCTATCTCCTTCTAGAATAACAAGTACGGGACACTTCACAAATAAAGTATCCTATCCTCAGACACTCATTTGGTCTTGGTCAAGTAAGGTTTTTGCATATTGAAATCCAGAAAGCAGCTGAATGCCACCCCATGCAGTCAAAAATTGTTCAGATCATTTGCAACTTAATGACAAGTATGATGAAGAAACAAGGATAAGCTTGGAAATTGAAGATGATAATGGTAGAGAGAGACTGTGTAAGGAGGCTCTGCCAAATGCAAATGAAAATCCAATCAGTTAAATACTTTGTGATCTAATCTAGTGAAAACATCATACAGAATGAGACAGAAAAAACTCAATAGGTATAGTGGAGAGGAGTGTACAAACACTCAATAATATAATGGTGGAGAAGTTGACAAAGAAAAGATCCCTATGCTTATTTTTACTCTATTTTCTGAAATATATGACAAACAAAAAAATTTGATGAGGTTTTAAGTACGAACTGTTATTGTGAGTCAAAGATCACGAACCCTGAAAAGAGCCATCTCTCTAGCAAGTGAATAATGCATTGCACCAGCTAAATGGTACTTTCTTTCTGCACCTTCTACAACAATATACATATGCTGATGGACATCTTGGATTGCAATGATACTCCCTACAATGTATGAAGCACAATACCTTGTCAATGATAATGTGCTTGGCTTTTAAGTAATGAACTTTAAACTACAAAGAACCTTTAAGAAAGAATACCATCTTGGACCATCTCCTCCAACTTCCTCACAGGTTCCTCATCAATATGCAATTGTCTTTGCTGCACGCTGGCAGTTGTTTCCTTGCTGGAACCCCCCGAAAGTTCAGCAACTGAAAGCATCATCTGAAGCCATAATAGCATGCCATAGAAACATCAACTTATAATGATATATGATTTAGTGTCTCTAATTTTCATAGTAAGCATGATATATAATTCACCTGCATCTCGGACAAGGATATTGTCACATCAAAGCCTGAAATAGAACCACTGCCAACCCAATGTTGATCTGATTTCAGAGTATCAGAAGGATCCTTTGGCACAGGCTCCTCAACTGCTATAAAACAACTTAGCTGTTTCAAAATGTAGTTTGCAGGACCTTGATGGGAATCTTGACTGCGCAGTTCTATGCGGGAATCAGAAGTGGAGCTGCTTGCATCAGTTGTTACTGGATGAATCTCATCCGTGTTCCCATGTGTCGCTTCCATGTCTTTTGGTATTAAATGAAAAGATGGATCACTTGAAGTGCTAGAAGACATAATAGGAATCTGAACTTCATTACTTTGATGTCTGTTAAATTCTTGAAGAACTCGAGAAAGAATGGAAAAATGGGGAAGACCAAACGATAATTTTCTCCTCATATTGACAACTTTAAGGTCCAAATGCATGTCAGCACCAAACAGAAGTTCTTGAAGTCTTCCTGCACAATGTCCAACACCAAAAGATGTCAAACGTATTTCTGTAGAAGATGAAAACAACAGGAGAGAGCCATACCAGATTCATCTCTAGCCATCAAGGCAAAATAGAACTGAGAGAGTCCCATGGTAAAATCTTCTGAAATCCCCTGCATTCCTTGCTGAGGCACGGTTCGTGTCCCTTGGCTGGGATAGTCTACAAGTATAGTGACATTTGCACTATCGGCAGCTGCTTGGTTTTCCTGAAATGATGGTGCACCACGTAAAAGATGTCTGACGCGACGTATGTACGAATTTCCACATTGAGAAAACAGAACGGCCGATATGGTTTCAAAGAAGATAATACCACCCTGTTATGTCGGCAAGATCATGATATGTTAACTCTTCCACTTTGTCATAATTACTAACACAACCCACTGACCAAAATCCAAGAGTAATTTTGAGTCAATCGTAAGGGAAAGCATATAATGATGAAATTGGGAAAGACATCAAAAACTATATAACTTATTCATTAGAATAGCACCTGACAATGACACGAGCTAATTGTCTGACAGCCACCATCACTAGAAAGTGATATCTCAAGCTTACTTGACTGATGTTTTCCAACTATTACATCCTTTAAAGGGCATCCTATCATATAAATTTCAGTTGAGGAAATTCTTGCATGTAAACAAGTATTTGAAACTGGAGCTACGGTCGACTGAGCAAGGCTGGTGTTCTGATTATCTTTAGGAGATTGAGCAATCACCTCTTCAGAATTATTTGTCAAAATAGGATTCTCCATTGTGTGTAAAATATTACTTCCAGAAGTAGAACTTACAACTTCTCTGTGCGATGATGGTAATTCATGGGGAAGATATGTCAAAGATAAACTGAATGTGCAATTAGAAACTGATAATTCACATACATCCTGATGTCGTGGCAACAAATCACGGATATCATGCTTATCAGGCGTATTCGTGACATCATTTGCATATTTGAAAATAACAGCTCGTAAACCAAAGAAATTAGCAAGCCCTTCCATTTTCCGTTCTTTCTTTTTGTATGATAACATCATATGCATTTGATGAACAGAAATGTGAATTCCACTATCAGGCAAGAAGTGCACAGATAGATTCTGGCTCATAAAGGATTCAGAGATTGTCACTTGGTTCTCGATGGCACTGCCTTTCCTGGTCTTGTGAATGACTATATCCACTGACTGGATTTCAGAAGTGCACTTAAGAATATAAAGAGTTCTCTGAATGACCAAGGATGTTCCAGTATTTGTACTCATCAGCATCTCATTTTCAGAACCAGCATGCAACATCTCTTGACTATTAAAATGATGAGAATTTACAGAACTGGATGAGTCAGTTGTGTTAAATGCATGCGATAGAGCAAATATCAAACTACTAACCACCTGTCACACAAGAAATGTCAAGGAGGTCAATAGAGAATGAAAGAACAAAAAAAAGCATAATCACCACTTCATCACAGAACCAAATTTTCCATGCAATTCACAGAAAATAATCGAAGTTGTTATAAGCAATCATGGAATGTAACAATAAAGGCATAAATAAAGTGCACAGAATAAGGTAAAGTTTGCAACCTAGCAATTCCATTAGTATATGAATTGTAGGTATTAACAGAAAAACTCAACATATTTAGGAGGAAGAAGAAGACGATCACCTCAGCTAAAACAGACAATTCATCAACAAATATTAGACCTGAGAGCCCCGAAGCATTACCATGCAGGACTGCAGAGAAAGCACTTACACTTTCACCAAGTGACCAAGCATCCTTCCTGTCATACGATAGCAAGTAAAGAAATTAAAAATAAAGCACAATTGACACGTGGCAAAATAAAACAAGTACCCTGACAGAATACACACATAAGAAGCTATTGCTTTGTGATGAATCAATTGATCATCGATGTCTTATTCAATTGAATTTCAACACTCCATGGAAGGATTACAAGATTTCTCCTACAACACCAAATTGCCAATATTCAAGAGATAGGCCTCCTCAGGTATGTTCACAAATTCGTCATGACCCCCAACTACCACAACCCCCCCCCCCCAAAATTATATACCTTCACCGACTGAACCACCTGCACCAACTTATAACTGCCTCCTACTCGAAAAGACCTTACTGCCCTCCCCTATCTCTTCCTCCTTGTGCTTGAATACGTAAAACGTATCTCGGGTTTATCGCTTTGCTACCTTTGATCACAGTACTATGTTCTGATGTGTGTGAATAATAAACTGGTTGTTTGCATCTTCAAAGATATAAGTTGATTAAACGCACACTTAAAATTGAATCCCTCATTTATTTCAGAAAGCTAAACTTAAAGTTAATTTGTGAATAAGTCCACTGGAAGTCAAGGGATCAAAGCTCACAAAGCATAAGGAGAGTGTGTGAAGTTTTCTGTATATATTATATATACTTTAAAAAAAGATACACAAGAGAAGATTGGGGTGGAATTGGTTGAGAAGCTGAGATCACAGCTCTTGAGATCATTTGGTCATACCCAATGTAGACCTTATGCACCAGCTGGAAGTGGAGACTTGCATCAACAAAAGATTGTCAGAAGAGGTAGAGGTCAACCAATCTTTACATCATTTAAGTGGTAAGGAGAAAGACGAGTGGGTGCAACATACCGAAGGATCTGGCCTTAGATAGGATTACATGGAATCCGATTACTAAATGTAGGTTTTAGTAAATTAACAATCATTTTTACAAATTCTACTTTCATGGAAATGTTCCGCACAAACCTACTGATGGATGATGAAGATTGTACTAAGAGCATCTGATAAAGAATTATTATAGACGTCAATGTCAGCTATGCTGTTAATCACACCACTATAGTGATGCTATCGCTGTTAGCGGTCATGGGACAAATAGCAGTGGTCAAATAGTGGTCCTGTGATTAGCGGCGCTATTGACCGCTAAATGACCGCATTTTGAACGAAAAAAAGCTGCTGCATCATGTTAAGGGTTGAGCGGGGTCCCATGCACCCGCTCACTCGAATATCGTAAGAGAAAAAAATTGGGATGTGAAGAGGGTGCACCCGTTTAATTATGAGGGTGCTCTTAAATATTTGGAAACCACAAGAATCCCAAGTTGGCGAGATGGTTGCTGCAACCTATTTAAAGTGTCCGCCTCCACAAGGTCTCAGGTTCGAGCTTTACTTGTTGCAAGTCTTCAAAAAAAAATCTCTAAATGGTTCATGTTATGAAATATTAGAAAATATAATGGTGTTCTTAAATATATTGAAACTGAAGGGACTAGACCGAAATCTTAATATAAATTATCTAAATAATAGGTTTTTGTTTCCACTTTTGTTCTTCGATCACCACCCATGAAGAATTGTCCATCATCAGTTGACTCGTATTTTCCAAGCATAATATTTGTTACAATTTGTTTATTCATCCTAAATTGTTTTATTCTCATTACCAATTTGTCTTATTTACCTAGGTTAGCTCTAAATTGATTTTATTTCATTATTGATTTGTCTATTTGTTCTAAATTTGTTTAGTCATTTTTCATTTGCTCAAACCCTAGTGTTGATTTTAATTTGGTTAATTAATTTTTTAAGTTGTAAAGCATCATATTTAGTACTAGAAGTCCTAGATGCATTAGAAAACAAAATAGAAAATCTAGAAAAAGAAAGATAAAGGACAACCAAATCAAATCCTAAAAATTAGAAAATTTTAGGAAATCAACTAAAAAACCAAAAAAACCCTTGTACCAATGGGAATTCGGTTAAAAACACGTCGTGCGTAAGACGTAGTCCTGTGTCTTGCTCAAAAGATCAAATTCGATTTCATTTGAAAAAATGTATTTTATTCCCCAAATTAACGCAATTGACTTAATCAAATCGCATTGACTTCCCCTGCATCAGCCGCAATTTTAAGACTTTAAATGTGCACCCGCTCAAAATAATTCCTAGGTCTGCCACTGAGCTGGATAACCGCTTTGTAGATAAAGGTAATTTTGTGGGCTTTTATTTAGAACTTGCATTCGGTTTTCACTTTAGTCCAACAATATCAAGGCTTCATTATCCTTATTTTGTTGGATCAGGACACCATTATTTTTATTTTTTTTTGAACTTGGACGATTGGGTTTGTACACTATCACTTTGACCTCTTGATTTGCATAAAAGTATTCACATTGTTCAATTATTTTTTATTTGAACTTGGACATCATTACTCTATTGAATACATAAAATATGTTATGTATGCATATATATAATTCTAATTATTATATGAAACCGCTATTTTTGGACCGTTTTACCATCACGATAACAGCTATTTCAAACCATGGTCCTGACCGCGATTTCATATTTTGACCGCTGTAACAGCATAGGATGTTAGTTTCAAAAATGAATATGTATTACTGAAGACGAAGTGTTATAATAATGAAGAGCAGTAAATGGAGCTATATTGCAAGATCATGTAACGTTATGAACTAGGAGAACTTGACTATGACTAAAGTCCAAACCCTAGGCCCATTAGAGTAGAGAGTGTCGTGCTAGTTTGGAGATGGGCATAAATAGTTAAATGAAAACTGCACGTATAATCGTAACATATAGTCTGCTTATTCGACATGACTAAAGACAGTCTAGAACTTTGAGAGAAAACTTGGGAGCAACTCAACTTATGACTTGTGTGGTTGTTTTTCCATCAAGTCCTGTATGGATAAAATTGTATATGTGGATTAATATATATTGGGAAGATTTTTATTTGGGAGAGTTTTTCATAGATGGAAGGAGCATGTTTTTTAAATGGAAAGGTAGGTTCGGGAAAAACTTGGCTTTCCGCATAAAGCTCCCCCCCTAGATGCTTACAGAATAAGCCACTTTCTATATCATTAAGCCACTACCAAAAAGTCACGTATAGCTGACCGAATAAGCTGTGAATCCCATGAAGCTCATTAAGCTGCTCACAAACAGGCTCTTACTAAACTAGCATATGCATGTCAGTTCTTATCCCATATGAACGAACCACACTTAACACCAAAAAATATGAAACAAGGGTGAAAAGCACCATACCTTATTGTTGAAAGTTGAAGTGATATTGGCTTTAGTGTCATAATTTGGGACTGTTGAAGTTCAGGCCAGTCATCAAGGTTAGCAATTATTCCATGAATTTTCAAGGAGGCATCAAGCATTATTTGCCCTTGACACCGGAAGCTTTCATTATCCGACTTACCCAGGTCAACTATTTGAAGCTCCTTCATGTGAATTGCATCATTTAATATTGTGGAATTATCTGCTAGAATTGGCGACATGATGAGTTCGACGTTTTTACAATCAAATGAAAGGTGAATATCATCATCTGCTTCATGTAAGTTTGTACTTCTGCTGTGCAAACTGTCCTTTCTCAATGACATGCGGATTTGAGGACCAACCACATATACACCAACTTGAATAAGCTTTTCCGGTAATACTTTATGCAGTGCCTCTTCTACTCCAGAAATACGTGAATGACAATCCCAGACTCTCACCGGTGGATCCTCGAAAGATTTTGGAGTAGATTTGTGTGATTTCATCTCAGTAGGCCAACTGAAAGCTTTTTGTATCTGCTGAAGAAGTATCGCTAACGATAATGTTGATGAATATCCCAAAGAAACGTCCAATTGTCCTAGTGCCAAACAACATCTAGTGAAGTGATAACTCAAACTATTGTGGCCCTGATCTGTCAACAAATGCTTGATCTCACAGAGAACAAAGGGATCATTCAATTGCTCATCCGTAGTTTTTTCAAATTCTGCACAAGATATTTTCCAATCCAACCACATCTCATTTAGAAGGCTTTCCAAAAGCGGTAGGGAGACCATTTCAGTATTTTCATGGTTAAAAACAAGAGCAGGTTTACTCCATAGGATAGTTTTTGAGTCTAAAACTTGATGCTTCTGGCGTCCTTTTGAAGAATATCCATGCTTATTTCTGGTAGCAGAGGAATACATAACCTTGAAGCTCCTACAGGAGAAAATCGATTGATGCTCACAGATATTTTCTTGGTAAACCAAGATAAGGGTGTCGATTAATAGACTGAACGAAAGTAAATCCAAGTCTGAAACCCTTCTGTCTGAGACAGTTCTTTTACCAACAGAAGGTATAGCGTTATCAGGGGAAATGGTGACGGAAATTTTCCCCAAGTTCAGCTTGTAACAAAGATTTGTGCAAGAATCTGTGGGAAGAACTCCGATCTTTTTCATTTTAGGATGGGAAGCAAAAGAATTTCTCAAAAATGCCCAGTGTGTTATTGAATTAAGCATGCTACAGAAAGTACTCCATATACGACCAAATGATTGGCAAGACTTCTGGAAGTACTCCAAGTACCTGGTGACCGGGAGCTCATCTTTGCTCGGAATGACATTTTTTACTGTTCTGCCTCGGACTACTCGATGAGCCAGTGCGATAGCTGGGGCAGGTATTTCTTGCTCAATTTCAGAAATTACTTGCCATTGGCGCATAAAAGATTTAGAAAATATCTGGTTCTTAGACATCTTTACTGCAGATCGTTTTATCATGATGTCTGTTGGATATCCAATGAGTAAAAATAAATTATCCCAGGCATGAACATAACGTAACCATAGGCAAACAACATTTACCAACTTCCACATCGACCATCTACGTCTTGAGATCAATGACCTAATTCTGGTTGTGTTTTCTTTCCAAAGTTGCCTACCATTTCTTATTGGCGAGGACTTTCGTGACAATTCTCTCACTAACACTGATATAATGGAGACATCTATTGGAGAAAATGAAATTACTAATTCCTCAATGGAACAATGGAGATCGATCAACTGAAGATCATTCAACTTCACGGCACAGATAATATTGGTCGCATAACCCACCGGGATAATTTGCTCATTGCTCTTCAATTTTATCTCTAAACCTCTGAGTTCAAGATCAAAGTAGCTTTCTTTAGACGATACAAAAAGTGAACTGATGTACCCTCTTAGAAAACTTTGAGGCTTGACAAGTCGAGAGTCCACATTAAGCTCCTCCATCTCCCACAAGCATTCTAAGGAATTATCTGAGATGGCATGCTGCAGTCGTAGATTGATATCACACATCTGTAAGCAACAATAATTCACGATAAGCTTAGGGAGAGCAGGTGTCTGGCTTCTTGAAAGGGCAATATCCGCAAGCTTTTCCATGATATCATGCAAAGCACTACCCTGCATCCATCATAAAGTTATTAGGCTCTGATAAAAGCGGTGAAACAGATACCACATTTGTAACAAAATAGAGCTTTCATCAATTTTTAAGAGATTAATTTGCAATTTGCTCCACTCATGCACAAACACATACAGTAGCTTCGCAACAGAAAACTAGGTACGCATTTGTCTATCAAACAAACAAGGAGGCAGATTGAGACCCTTGTTAAATATTGAAGTTATGATACTAAAAACAAATTCGGCAAGGCTGTGCCAAATTTGTACACATGGAATTGAAGCATGTCTAAGGGGCTGTGTGGTTGGTTTTCTATAATGTATTGTGTGGATAAAGCTATCTGTGTGGATTAATCTGTCGGTATAGTATAGATTGGAAAACTTTGTGCTTGGGGGAGCTTTTTCATAGATGGAAATAGGGTGTTCCTTAATTAGAAGGAACAGGTTTTAAAAAAAAATTGGCTTTCTGCATAAAGTTCACCTCCAGATGCTTACTGAAAGAGTGAATTCTATATCATTAAGATTTAAGGAGCTGTTTGGTTTGATTTTCCATAAGTCCTGAATATATAAAGCTGGTAGTGTGGATTAATCCGTCTGTATAGTATAGATTGGAAAAGTTTTTGTTTGGAGAGCTTTTTCAAAGATGGAAATAGAATGTTATTTAATTGGGAGGGGCAGGTTCTAAAAAAACTGGCTTTCTGCATAAAGCTTACCTCTAGATGCTTACTAAATGAGTCAATTCTATGTGGTTAAGACTTATTAAGTCACTACCAAAAGAGTCGTGTATAGTTGACCGAATAAACTGTGAAACGAGTAAGCTTATTAAGCTGCTAACCAAACATGTCCTAAATTAGATGAGGTCCAAGAAATAACACCAACTTCCTAATCATCAACTTAAATAGAAAAAACGAGTGCTACAAGTCATAGCAAAATTTTATAACTTAAATAAAGTACCTCAGGATCAATTTCACGTAGAACCTTCTTCTTCTCATCCAACAACACCTCCGAGGGTTCCCGGCTCCTTTCGCTCCCCTCCACTACCCTTCCACGTCAAACAAGATTGCGAAATAAATGAACAAAAAAACGAAAAATTCAAACTGTATAAGTAAAAGTGTAAACATATAGAGACATTTATAAGTATAAAAACCTTGGGGATATAGTGACGTGAAAACCCTGCAGTTCCCAATTGAATGCAGGAGCAGACCAGGTGGATATCCGGAGGGTCAATCGATCGACTCTGAAATCAGTGAAGTAAAAACTGATAGAATCGTCTAGAAGCTCGTTGAGTGCTGAAGTATTGAAACGGAGGTTCTTGACGATTCCATAAGAACGAAGAAACCCTAGCTTGAGTTCCAACTCCGGTTCTTGTAGCAGCCATGGTTGCAACAAAGATGCTAACTTCCGCTTAATCAAGTTGGTTATAAACATGGCGATGAATTTAGAGAAGAAGACTTCCCAATGTACAAATTATCGCCATGTTTGGAAAGGTTTGAAGGGCGTATGATCAAAGGTTTATGAGATTCTGAGATGGTTGTCGGTTGGTTGGGCTTGAAATTGAAGTTTGTTGGAAGTAAAGGGTAACGGATTGCGAATATGGAAACAAACCTCTCATTTTATCGACTTCAAATCCATCCAAGAAAGACCAGGTTTGTTTTTACGTTCTTTTTAACACGTCAACCATCATGGTCGACATAGAAATGAGTTAGTATTTTGTTACTTTTTATACCGTTAGATTAACTAGTATGGGAACCGTGCGTTGTGCGATAGTATGAGTGCTTTGATTAATGATCTGATGATTGTCTATATAAATATATATTAATTGTTAATATAATCATCAACAAATCATATTCAAATAATTCGAAAAAGTTAAATAAAATATAGTTAGTGAAATTTTAATATACATATATATATATATATATATATTGAGAGAGAGATTTGTTTAGTAATAAAATTGTAAAACTAAATAAAATGAGTAATAATAACGACGGAAATATTAAGAAATCTGACACAATTTAAGAATAAAAAATACTTCACATAAAGATATGTCTCCTTCAAAGGATGATGTACATGTATTATTTTTCATCTTCAACACATACCTTGACTTTAAAAACACAATAGTGAATGGACCGGACCAACCATACGATATGTAAAAAATCACATACCAAACTTAAAGACTTCAAATATTTATAACCCAATAGAGATAAAATTATAATGCAATCAAAATCATAACATGAACATACATAAAATTATAATACGACTAAACTTACGATAAGAACATACTTAAAAATATAATTCAATCAAAATCATGATACAAACATACATAAAATTCTAATACACTTTAAATTACAAAATAAACTTGCATAAAATTCTTACCTTAGATCATAATCAAAAATTCCCACAACCCAAACTTGAAAAGTTCAAATTTTCATGACTTAATATATAAAAATCTATATATATTATAAAACATAACAATCTATATATATATTAAAGAAGAAACCAAAGGTAATGAGGTGGCACCTTCTAATGCTTAGAACCC